ATTGCTGGACGATTGTTCTAGATCTGTGAAGGGTTGCCCAAAGGAAGGGCCACCCATTTGTAAGTTCCGTCCCATAGGTATCATAATATAAATATTAGTTTAAATCCAAATTTTATTTGAATAAATTAATATAACAATAACTATCTTGAAAACATCGACAGACGCGATTGATATTTGTCATATGAAAAATAAATAATAGACTGATAAGAGATAATTGATAAGAAAGTTGGTGAGCCTGTACAAAATATAAAAAAAAGAGTAGTATTAAAAAAGTAATATACGATTTTGAAAGTAACTTGACAAGCTTTTATTTAATTATGTAATTGTAAATTTCACAATGTGCTTTTACGTTTTTATTACTACTCTTTTTTTTTTTATATTTTGTACAGGTTTACCAACTTTCTTATCAATTATCTCTTATCAGTCTATTATTTATTTTTCATATGACAAATATCAATCGCGTTTAATAGTTTAATATATTGGTGTATGTATATTTTAGTCAAAATGTGTCAAGACACTTAAAGGTCACACCGATTATGTATTTTGTTGTAATTTTGACCCTGAATCAAATCTTATAGTTTCTGGATCAGTAAGTTTACACAAAGTTATACAAATTTTGTTTATATCAAGTATTAACGTGCAATGGTATTACTTATTAGTTTGATGAAAGTGTACGAATTTGGGAAGTTAAAAGTGGAAAATGTCTTTTAGCATTACCTGCACATTCAGATCCAGTTAGTGCTGTTCATTTTAATATTGATGGCTCACTTGTTGTTTCTAGTAGTTATGATGGTTTATGGTAATAATTCTTTAAATTTTATGTAACCTTATAAAAATTAAAAATTGTCTGTTTTATTTAGTCGTATTTGGGATACTTCTAGTGGTCAATGTTTAAAAACAATTATTGATGATGATAATCCTCCTGTTTCGTTTGTAAAATTCTCACCAAATGGCAAGTTTATATTGACAGGTACTTTCAATAACACTCTAAAAATATGGGACTATACAAACGAGAAATGCTTAAAAACTTATGTAGGCCATAAAAATGAAAAATACTGCATATTTGCAAGTTTTTCAGTGACAGGAGGAAAGGTATATGATACAAGTTAAATTATTATACTAAAATTATAATTTACACTCAGTTTGTTTATTTTATTTTAGTGGGTAGTCTCTGGATCTGAAGACAATATGGTATATATTTGGGATTTACAATCTAGAGAAATCGTGCAGAAACTACAAGGACATACTGGTAAATTTAATTAGTAATAAATTCTATGCAACTTTTGCATGACTGTTAAATTTATTTTCCAGATATAGTTTTGTGTACATCATGTCATCCAACAGCAAATATAATTGCATCAGCGGCATTAGAAAAGGATAAAACAATAAAACTATGGAAAAGTAATATCTGAAGATAATTGTAGATAAGTGAATTT